TCATAAAGTCCAAGGACTAACTGTGTCTAAAATAGCAGTTGATTTACGTAAATGTTTTACATATGGACAAAGCTATGTAGCCCTTAGCAGAGTAACATCGAATAAAGGTTTATTTATATCTGAAATGAACAACAAATCTTTTAAGTGAAAAAATATATGCAGACCCTGATAGTGAAGCTGGTTTAGCATCAATGCAATTATTTTCAATGAGAACTGCATCTGCGTCTGTTGCTAATATTTTGAAAGAACATCAAATGAGAATTGTTTATCATAATATCCAAGGGTTGTTTTCTCATATTGGTGATTTGAAAGTAAACAATGATATGGTAAGAGCTGACTTTACATGTTTTTGACTGAAACATGGTTGGCTCAAATGATCAGTATGTTAATCTGAATAATTATGACTTTCGTCATGTATGCAGAAATGAAGCTTTCAATGACGACAATGAAATGTTTCGAACAATAAAACATATGAAAAATGGAGGAGTAGGATATTTTTGTAAAAATCGTATTAATTATCAGCATATTGATTTGCACATAAAAAATATTGAGTGCATCGGTTTTAGAATAATAGAAATAGACACGCTTATTGTTACAGTTTATAGAACACAAAAGTATGATGTTGAGACTTTTATAAAGCAGTTTGGACTAGTTTTAAATGAAACTAGTTGTATTTCACACAAATCAGTAATTGTTGGTGATTCCAACCAGAATATTCAAAAAGACGAAAGATCTATTGAAAATTTTATGAAATCTCAATGGTATGTTCAGGTTATCACGGAACCAACAACAGAAAAAGGAACATTGATTAATCATGTATATTTGAAAGGAATTAATCCATGCTGTGTAAGGATTATACGAACATTTGACAGCTATCATGAAGCAATTGAAATTATAACTGGAAATGTGTAACTAACGGTGTCTATCGTAAATTTCAAACTGACTCAGGGGCGGTAGTTGTAATGTGAACTTCAATGTGAATTTTCGTAAGAGCTTAATAGTTAGTGTTTTTTTATGAATGCTGAAAATTACCTTGTGTAAAATAGCAGTTATGTCAAACAGGTATAGCAATATACAATTTTAATGTTTCATTGACTATTACCTAATAGTTTAATATATTAAGTACATTTTTTTATGAATTGTGAAAATTTTATATTTAAATACAATGACAAATAGTCAGTCAGTATATGACACAATATAATTAACAAAAATACTGCTGCAATATTCTATATATCAATGATGCACTTCAGCTGTTATTGTAAAATCAACCCAGAATGTATCCACCGTTGTCAGAATCCAAAAACAGAACATTTTTCGGCGTTTCAGGGATATTGAAATTGATTGGTATTAAAAATTTCATTTTCAGTTGTTGTTGTTACTTTTTATTTCAAAATTGATTTTAACTTGATCAAGAAGTTTATCTGCATCAGTTATGTTTATTCCTCTCAAATATGATACAATTAAAATCTGGGCTTCTACAAAAACGACATCCATAAAGAAATTATATCCTTCATTTAAACTCTGACATTCTGAAACAAAAATAAACGTTAACATTATATGTTGTTTAATATGTTTCCATTTTCTCTTTTCATAAAAAAAAGTAGCCATTAATTAATATGTCACTAAAGTATTCAACATCTTAACATAGATTTATTTAATCACAAACACCGTAAAACAAAACTAATTATGTTCGTTTAAATAGTACAAGATAAAGCAATGTAAGTCTTACTTTTTCCGAGACGTCAAAAGCAAATCCGTATGTGTCGTTCCCTCTTATCTGCACTCTGTTTGGTATTCTCAAAAATTCATGGTGTCTTCAATGGTCATCCTCATTTGTTCACCTGCATATCCACTTTAAACGCCTCACAGTTATATCCAAAATTAAAAACTGAATATACTTCATTTTCAATATAAGAATATGTTCATCATCAGATTCCTTATTCTGGACCCAAACTCATAGTTCGTTTATTATTACTTTAAACATATTTGTAACAGAAAGAAAAAATGTGGACTAGTCTTTCTTGTCCTTTAAATTTAAAAAAGGATTGTCACTATAGGTGCATTTAGGTTGCATACATGGGACACTGTTAATTGAAAGGCGGTCTATACAGTTCATAAAAGGCAGAACCGTATACTTGGATTTGATAACAGAATATTTAAAAAAAACCAACATAACATCCATCCGGGCATTGCTATAGGACATTGCTATATTTTTGTTTGGTTTGGCAACATATAGGTACCGCGATTCCTTGGACGCAATAGTACGACCATAAACAATCGGTATAAACATCATTGAATGATTTTTTTTTTAATTTTGAATAAATTTGCCGCGTCAAGTCTAAGCCAGCAATTTCTATGTTTTCTAAAAGGAGTGTGCTTTTTCGTCCCATTGCCCAAGCAAGTTCTTAAAAGGCCTTCAGACGTCAAAGCCATCTCGGACTTGGTATTCGATTGTTGTTAGAAGATACATTACTAAACTCACTTTAGTACTGTACTTGCTGCAGTTTTTGTGGTCCACTTTAACCCATTTGTTGTTTTGTTGTGTTTGAATCCGTCACGTACAGATTGCTATAAAAAGTTTATTAAAGTAAAAATTATTATATTTCGAATGATGAGTAATGTATCGAAAAAAAACCGAAAACAAGTATGTGAAATGATTACACTGTATGCATATATTGATAACTAAATATTTGATTGGTTAAGGCTACTAGTATATTCCAAGTGACATAAAAATAAAACAACTGTAAGAAATGAAATACCTTTATATATGCAGGCACGTCAATCTCATTTTTACTTTTAGTCTTCTTTCCATTTTCTGTTCTTTTTTCTAAACTTTTCAACATTGAAAGGCATTCTCCAACAAGGGCATTTTGTTTGCCAAACTGTTCTTGTAAAAATGTCCTTTGGTTGTCAAATAACTTCTCAAGTGTCTGAAAATACAAATATTTGGATATATTTAAACTATCATTGGTATTATTAATTCACCAATCATGTGTCAATTTATAGTATTTCACCGTGGATAAGACTTGCACATAATTATGATGTTTGAAAGTTATCTCAAAAACGAATAACCCCCAAGGGTGACTGGGGAATAGAAGTATGGTCACCATTGGTCTTCCTCCGACCGGCAGTAAAACCCTTGCTAAAGTAGGGCGTCCGTTTGGCTGTGCGGGATGTACAAATTTGCAGCCACGTCCGGTCAGAATGGGGACGTTAAATCCGATGCCTCGTGTAAAGAGAGTGCCACGCTCTTTGCACGTTAAGAACCCATGCAACAACTCTTTGAGGGGTCCGTAGGTGACCTGTTGCAAGGCTAAATTTCTGTTCCTATCCAATATACCCTCAATTCCCGTGGCAGTCTAAATTTCTCCGACCTCAATCCTGGAAGCCCCTATTACAGAAACTACCTATTGTATTTATTGTTAATTTGTTATCGTCCTGACTATGCATGAAATATTTGCAACTGGACGTTAAGCAACCAACAATCAATCAATCAATCAAAAACGAATAGCACGAGATCTCAAAAATAACCATGTACACAACACTATCGCCTACAAATCTGTAGTATAAATTGCGTTTTTTAGTTTTGTTTGAAATACTGACAATTTTAATTTCGTACAAGAAGAGATAATTCATATGACAATATGCACTTCACTTTTATTGCACACAGGGCAAATAAACTGTGGTATATTTTGGCTCATCAGTTTATGTATTCTTAAATTTAAAGTAAAATTTACAAACATTATCAATAAACCGATGGCTGGTTTGGTGTTACCTTCTTAACAATTATCTTTAAAATATGGTCGATTTAAGGTAACATCTAAATGATTTATCCAAACGTGGAAAAAATTGACTGATAAATATAATAAAATTTTCAATAAAGCTTTTGTTAGTTCAAGTTTATATCTAATGTAAATGTCATTACATCTAAGAAAAGTGTCTGGAACAAATGACCGATTCAAGATATCAATCAATACAATTACAAATCAAGTAGTCAAATTGACAGTAAAATGTATTGAAATTATCAATAAACCGATGGCAGGTTTGGTATTACATTGTATACAACTATCTGTAAAATATGGTCGATTTAAGGTTTCATCGTAATCAAGTATCCAACAAGTGGTTAAATTTATTGAAAAATTTTGTAATTATTAAATAAAACTGTATTTGGTTCAAGTTAACAGCTAATACAACTGTAAGTACATCTTAGAAAATTATCTGGAACATGTTTGTTTCTCAAGTTTGTCAAGAGTCGCTTTCGGCAATTATCACTTTGTGTCAAATTATCTATATTATTTTTTGCGTAAAGTTTACACATAAAGACGAGTATCAATAAAAATAATGTTAATGAAAACATTATAGTATTGTAGAAATATGAAAAATTAATCTTACTTAAGAGCCAATCCGCCAGAAAACCATGCAATATTCAGAAAATCGTCCAAATCGACAATCACAACTTGACAATTTTTTATACATCATCTTAATCCTTGACATAAAATAAAAGAATTTGACCACTTAATTTTTCCCAGAATCGTATCTATTTTTAGTAACAGCCTCATTTGCATAATTCTGTAAATTCATAATGAAACCAAGGAAAAATACAACTTTTTTATGCCTTTTAAGAGTTACCCAGAAGCATATTAAATGAGGTAGTTGAGTTTTAAGAGCAATGTCAGCTGGAACCCATCCATTTTACTATGTTATGGTCAATACAAATGAAAATTTAAACGATTTGGCACATTGCCAGGAGCACGGACACAAAGGCGGGGTTTTTCATACATGAAATTACATGGTTTTCATTTACTTCTAACTTGCAAGACCCATTCCGGATATGTTTGCATCTTATATCGGTTTTAACTATGGGGTATGTTTTATATCAAAACAAAATATTAAGCTTGGCAAATGACTATTATATGTTAATTTATGCCTTGGGAGAATGGTAATTTTAGTCCCCAATTGACAAATTTTGATTTGATTTTAATTGAATTCTTAACACAATTGGAAATAAAGTGGCTCATTAAATCATTTGAAAAAGTAAAATCAAGTGACTTAAACATTAAAATAAGAAGTTTTTGTACTGCAATTGCAAAAGTCAATAAATTGTCTGGAACTAGTGAGTTCATCTTTTATGCTTTTCCCTTGACTTATCTCCCTTGGGTAAAATCTCCACTCCAAGATGTCAGCTTCCAGTGATGGTTTGACAGATGACATTTGTAGTGAAGTTTGTGACTTTTCCTATCTTGGAGGAGCATGTGGGATATCCCAGCACTATTCATCTACATCTAATACACTTCTTAAAGTATCTGAATGCACCAAACCCACTACTATTCATCTCAAACGTCTGAATAGTAGTGCGAACTGTGAATTTCCAGAAGGTCTTCTTATCCTGTATAGGAGTGGTATTTTTTCAATAGATGTAACATCAACTCGGCTAATCACATGTACTAAGCACAGGGACTTTTATGGTATCCATTGGAGAAATAATCGTGCACGATGTCAACATCCAGACCACGCCTCTTCCAGCAAAGCCAAGGCTGACCGAGGATCTTCACCTTTGTTGTGCAAGCATAACTGGCTGTATACTCGACAAGTTATTCCCGTAGGAACAGGTACAAATCTTAAAGGCAATTTTCATTTGTTTTCTCATAGTCAATCTGAAATTAGGGGACCAACATTTGATACCTAGATTATAAAGGGGGGATGAAGTTGATATTATTTACACCTGTTTCTAAAACATTTTTTTTTTTCATTTCCTTTGGTTAAGAGTAAACAAATAATATCACTTTTAAATAAGTTTATCTGTATTGGCCAGGGTAAGCAGTAAAGGGACAACCATTTGATTCTGAAAAAGGGAAGGGGGATTGTGATAGTCAAAATATTTATCATGTTTATATATATCCACACCAGCTAAGCACAGAATACTAATTTTCAAGCTAAACAAGGTTACAATATTTATTTTCTGCTTAAAAATAAACTTAAAACATGATGTAGGTTTATAAAAACTTCAAGACCAGAAAAATCCAAATATATAATTTCAACAAGTTCAATATTTAGCAGGACAGGGGTTTATTCTCTTCCCCTCGTAGTCAAAAGCTTAAGGTTGACCCCCTTATTTATTTTTGCAGTTTTTATGAGTCAGAATGATCTTTTTTTAAAATCCTAAGCCCCTCCCCCCCAAAAAAATCCACTGATTTTTGCAGGACAGGTTCAAAAGGTGCATGTACATGTAAGTTTAAATGAAACAGGTAATCATGGTAATCAAGGGACAAAGAAGACAACCTGGTTGAAAAAGAAAACAAAACCATACAATTACACAAAATGGACAACTTTTCACTAAAGACACACAAGAATCTGGCTAGGGACCTTGTTTAATTGTAGTGAAATACTGCTTCAGAATGCACAAAATAATGTACAACACATACATGACATACAATGTACAATTGGAAAATCAATACAAAACTACTTTGAATTTGTGAATTTTCTTCCTGACCCTTTGATAACTCATCAATATACATGTTAAGATTTCATAATCAAAGACACAAAGGGTGGTTGTTAAGCACTTTCTCTACTAAAAAAACTTTTATCTAGTTGAAAAGATCCATACAAATACATGTACATAGACAATAATAGTGCATTGATTTGAGATATCAATGATATAAGGATGAGGCTTAGGAAGGGGGAAATGCGAGGCTCTGCTGAGCTTTTTCCCCGTTTCGGGCGAATCCTTTCGTAAGGTTTTTCTATTTAAGAACCCTACATGTATGTACATTGCATATAAAACTCCTTTTTAGAAGAAACAAATATAAAAAAGAAGATGTGGTATGATTGCCAATAATACAACTCTCCACAAAGGACTAAATGACACAAAAATAAACAACTAGTTCACCATAAGGCCTTCAACAATGAGCACAGCCCATACAGCATAGTCAGCTATTACCTCATTTCAACTACATGTACTGTACTGTAATGATACCCTACCCTACATTTCCTGCTTCATTGACTTTGCTTTGACTTATGTCTTATACATGTATATTTTATTTCATAAACCAAAGACAAAGATTTTTTTTATAGTTATACACATTTTATTTGTAGGGCTGTGCAAACAATGCTCAATAAAGATGAAGAATTTTGTAATAAGTGACAAGACTCAGGTCAAACTAAATATAGAAGAAGATGTTGGTAAGATATATTTTAAACTTTTTAATTTAACTGTTTGTTGGATATGATAACCATACCAAGTAAATTAAATAAATTACATTGACTTACATGTATACAATTCCTTCATGATCAAATAAGACATTTGCACCAGAAAAAAGTATTTTTATTCATCATGTCTTTGTATTAATAAATAAATTTGATAGAAACATTGTATGATGAAGACATTAAAACTTATTGTGACCAATTTTGTCATGGGGAATCCTATAAGGAATAAATGTCATTAGATTATATTTGGTAAAGCTATGCATAGCTACTGTTTTTTAGCTCACCTGGCCCGAAGGGCCAAGTGAGCTATTCTCATCACTTGGCTTTCGTCGTTAACTTCTTACATTTTGAACTTCTTCTAAAGAACCACTGAAAGGAATGGAACCAAATATGGCATGAATGTTCCTTATGAGGTGCTGACCAAGTGTTGTAACTTTGTAGCCGATCCAACATCCAAGATGGCCGCCAGCGGGGGACTAAGTTTAACATATGACCTTATCGGAAATACATATCAATGTCTTCTTTTAGAGAATAACTGAATGGAATGAAACCAAACATAGCATGAATGTTCCTTATTAGGTATTGACCAAGTGTTGTTACTTAGTAGTCGATGCATCATCCAAGATGGCCACCAACAGGGGACTTAGTTTAACATAGGACCCTATGGGAAATACATACAAATGTCTTCTTTTAGAGAACCACTCAATGGAGTGAAACCAAACATGTCAAACATTAATTAAGTGTCTGTTATGTTTTTTTATGATTTTTTATATGATTTCAAAAACCCAAGTAGAGTCAGGTGAGCGACACAGGCTCTTGAGAGCATCTAGTTTTATGCCCCTGCAACTTAAATTTGTGGGGCATATTGTGTTACCCCTGTATGTCCGTCCGTTTGTCCCATTATGGGTATATTTTTTAGAGTTTTTATTATAAAACCAGAAAAAAATAGGCCATTATCCCATATACCAGGGGGGGTATTAGTATTTGCCTGTCATTGTTATTTCTGTCATACTAATTTGTGGTACTATAGTTGGCAGCTCCAATAGACGCCCCATCTTTGGAAGGTTTTACTGCCTGCTGGAAGAAGACTAAGAGTGATCATATTTTATTCCCCAGCTAATGGGATTTCAATTGTTAGATGGCCCCTAATAGACTTATGTTAGGAAAAATATTGAGATGAATATTGTCACACTTTAGTATTTGCATTTTTCAGAATTGTTTGAGAGATTGTGTGGGCGCATTGTAGGTATCCATGAAGATAAGGAAGATACAGATTTAGGTAATCTATATTTTAAGTTGAAAGGGTTATGATTGATATTGACATTACCTGGTGTCTTCTAAAAATGACTTCAACATATTGAACTAAACTTAGTGTAAAAAGGACAGTGATTATATTTTCAAAATGACCGTCACTGCTTCCAAGTCACTACTAGCACTAAATGATGATGGCATGACAGAGGTCATTCTTTTTATCACATTTCTCTCAATTAACAAATTGAACAGTAATATATGCAGTACTAGTATTACAAGCACAAACTATCAAAAAGGTCAAGAACAAGAGGAATCATGAGACAAAGTCACACACACATACTGACAACTCAAGAGACACTGATGACTGAAAACGAAAATAAATAAGAAAGACAGGCTAATGAGACCATTATTGATTTTTAGCTCACCTGGCCCAAAGGGCTAAGTGAGCTTTTCTCATCACTTGGCGTCCGTCGTCCGTAAACTTTTACAAAAATCTTCTCCTCTGAAACTCCTGGGCCAAATTTAACCAAACTTGGCCACAATCATCATTGGGGTTTCTAGTTTGAAAGATGTGTCCGGTGACCCGGCCAACCAACCAAGATGGCCGCCATGGCTAAAAATAGAACATAGGGGTAAAATGTAGATTTTGGCTTATATCTCTGAAACTAAAGCATTTAGAGCAAATCTGACATGCGGTAAAATTGTTTATCAGGTCAAGATCTATCTGCCCTGAAATTTTCAGATGAATCAGACAACCCATTGTTAGGTTGCTGCCCCTGAATTAGTAATTTTAAGGAAATTTTGCCATTTTTGGTTATTATCTTGAATATTATCATAGAAAGAGATAAACTGTAAACAGCAATAATGTTCAGCAAAGTAAGATCTACAAATAAGTCAACATGACCAAAATGGTCAGTTTATTAGGTCAAGATCTATCTGCCCTGAAATTTTAAGACCATTCAGGCAACCTGTTGTTGGGTTGCTGCCCCTGAATTGGTAATTTTAAGAACATTTTGCAGCTTTTGGTTATTATCTTGAATATTATTATACATGTAGATAGAGATAAACTGTAAACAGAAATAATGTACAGCAAATTAAGACCTAAAAATAAGTCAAATGACCAAAATGGTCAGTTGATCCCTTGAGGAGTTATTGCCCTTTATAGTCAATTTTTAACAATTTTCATAAATTATGAAAATTTTCACAAAATATTTTCCTCTGACACTACTGGGCCAAGTTCATTATAGATAGAGATAATTGTAAGCAGCAAGAATGTTCAGTAAAGTAAGATCTACAAACACATCACCATCAACAAAACACAATTTTGTCATGAATCCATCTGTGTCCTTTGTCTGATATGCACATAGACCAAGGTGAGCGACACAGGCTCTTTAGAGCCTCTAGTTTTAAGCCTCCCAAACTTTGATTATAAGTGTATGGAATGCTATGAAATAATACCACATGCATGATAAGGTTCCATAACAGAAAAAGAATGTTGGGGTTAAAGCCCTTACAGTTTAGAACTAGGGCAAAAAAACAACTTTTCTAATACTTTGTAGAAACGGCTAATTTCTTGACCAGTTTTAATCAGGTTTAATTCGAAGTCTGGAATTCTTGTTCTTTAATATGCTAAATCTAAGATTTTAGATTAAGATTTAAATTTTGGATATTGGCCTCATTTTGAATTTGTCCACAATCATGACATGATGTCCAAATGGTCCAAAATTAAACTTTGTGATTGTATGATTTGAACAAAAATTTAATTCTTGATATATAATGTACTGAATATAAAGGATTATTTCAATTATTGATCTTATTGATTTTGGTCCGGTTTTCAAATTGCTCCATATTTCAAGGTCAAACGGGTACAAGTTTTAAGTTGGTTTCATTTCCATGAGGTACAAAATGGTATACATATAGGTACGAAATAATATACATGTTAATATTCCATGAAATACGAAATGGTATACTCGTTAATATTTCATTAGGTATGAAATGGTCAAGGTACGATTTTTACATAAAAAAGAAAATGTAGCCTACCAACGTTTAAACCTATATTTTGGCCTCTCCGTTTTGGCTTTGTTCGGGAGACCTGATTAACTACATCTGCTTACAGTAAAAAAAATATTTCCTGTCAGTCATACATGATTGTACATATAATATAATAAAAAGAAAATATGGAATAATTGCCAATAAGACAAGTTTCCACCAGATACCAAATGATATGGTAGTAAAGCTAGTGGTTAATAGGTAACCATGCAGTCTTCAACAATGAGGTAGACCCATACCCCATAGTCACCAAAAAAGGCTTGTAATATAAAGATATAAAACAATTCAAACAATAAAACTCATGTCTGGTGTATATTATATAAATATGTTTTGTTTTTTACAGATCTAGACTCACAGTTAACCTTTTTGTCGACAACAACGTTAACTGACCTTTCACAGCAGTCAACATCAGATTGGGAGGCTGATAATGCTTCTGAAAGAGACAAATTCAACAGGGCTATGAATATTCTCGGCAATGGAAAGTTTCCCACTTTAAAACATCAATTAAACCTTCCATGGGATGATGTCTCAAAAAGTACAAAGGCAATGTATTTGAAGTTTACCTCTGATATTGTTAATTTGATCATTCAATATATTGCACCAGGGCAAGAAAACAAAATTATGGCAGACTTAAGTGAGAAATACATGTATCTCAATGATGACAATCAGACAACACATGATGACATGACAAAAGCACTCATACAAGCATATTTGGACCAAAATAACAGTCAAACTCAAATTCAGATTCTTTCCTTGTTTGTGCAAAAATTTACCAAACAGAAGCTAATTGAATTAATTCCAGGACTTACTATGTCAAAAATTGATAGAGCTAGGAAACATGCTAATTTGGAAAAACCTGGACAAATGATAAATTCCCCAAGGATATACAGAATGCGATTAAGTCATCCTCAACTCATGCATTTTATTGAGTTTATTTCTAGCCCAACTTACCATCAAGCAGTTGGATATGGATCAAAAACTCTACAGCTTTCATCTTGTGTGGAAATGAAAATTCCAAGGTAGTTCGAAGCATTATTTCATCAAGACTCATAAAGGCATACATGGCTTACTGTAAAGACCAAGATTATGATACATTTTCAAGATCAACATTATTTAACATTCTTAATGCCTGTATTGCCTCTCAGAAAAAAATCTACATGGCTTAGACAACACCACAGCCGATGGTATGAAAGCAATGGAAACATTGACTGATGTGATCAGTTGTTTGGACTAGAAGAGGAAAAAGTGGGAAAACTAAAACATATCATTGCATGTGCCAACCAACATTTAAAATTTGAAATAAAGGGTCATCTAGCCACATCTTCAACTTGTATAGATCACTGTACCACATTTAGCCTCAGTGACTCAAAATCCACCCAATTTCGTTCAACTTGTGCACATGAACATTCAGATAGTTGTACCAAGTGCAGTATTGTTGATAAGTCATTACAAGAAGTATCAGATACATTTCAAAACATGAATTCCATCCCAGCCGAAAAAATTGATGAAATAGATCATGAGTTATCACGAGCACAAGAGCAAATATTGACATGGAAGGCACTTTGTGTCAGGACAGTTCATCAAGATCAAGCAAAACAAACTGCTCAGTAATTAAAAACCTCATCAGGCCCTAATTGTAATGGACTGGGCTATGAAGTTTTTACCTGTGAGACACAGAGAAGCCCAAAGTGACTTTTTCGGCAAAAAGGGAGTAAGCTGGCATGTTTCTTCTGTTGTCACTCTTGATACTGAGGTTGAACCTAAATTGAAGACAAACTTTAATGTTCACACTCTTGTGCACATTCTTGAGTTAGGCAATCAAGGATGGTTTTCTGTAGCTCACATACTAACTGACCTTTTACAGCAATTACCACTTATATTACCTTTGGTAACTGAAATCTTTCTAAAGAGCGATAATGCTGGATGTTACCACTGTGTGCCACTGATTTCTTACATTCATAATATTAATGTAAATGGAGACTTCTCTGTTAAGATTGTACAATACAACTTTAGTGAAGCGCAGTCTGGCAAAGATATATGCGATTCAAAAACATCTCACTGCAAGATGCATATATTGAGGTATGTTTGTAATATCTTGTTAAAATATCTTCTATAATCATGGCAATACTGTAATTTTAGGACATTTTTCAATAATTTTTTGTTATCATATGATTATGAATACTGCAATTGTTTTAGTATGGAGAAAAGACTTCGCATTTTAAATATAATGATTTTATGACTTCAGACAATCCTGTCAAAATTACAAAATAATCATTTATTAGATATAAGAAGATGTGGTATGAGTGCCAATGAGACAAATCTCCAGCCAAGTCACAATTTGTAAATATATAAATAACACATAGCTGAGAGGGTGATAGAGCAGATTGTTACCCCGAGAAAACATTGTCAACTGAGGCGAAGCCAAGGTTGACAATGTCTTTTCGAGGTGTAACAATCTGCTCTATCACCCTCTCAGATATGTGTTATTTAATTTATTATACTGAATGTTCTGTTATTACTGTCGATTAAATTTCAAATTCAAAGTAATAAACTATGACGTCTTGTACATAACAACCATCCGTATTTAATAAAGCGCACACTTGATCAAGCATCTCCGTGAAGGGTAATAGAGTATTTGCCATAGGATAGAGTCGTATTTAATAAAGCGCACACTTGTTCAAGCGTCTCCGTGAAGGGTAATAGAGTATTTGCCATAGGATAGAGTCGTATTTAATAAAACGCACACTTGATCAAGCGTCTCCGTGAAGGGTGATAGAGTATTTGCCATAGGATAGAGTCGTATTTAATAAAGCGCACACTTGATCAAGCGTCTCCATGAAGGGTAATAGAGTAAATTAACACCCTCGTATTAGCCAATCAAAATCTGGCATTTTGACATGAAGTATAATAAAGTAAACTATCATAGGTCAAAGTACGGTCTTTAACACAGAGCTTTGGCTCACACCGAACAGCAAGCTATAAAGGGCATCAAAAATGACTAGTTTAAAACCAATCAAAAGGGAAAACCAACGATCTAATCTACATAATGAGAAACAAGAAACACTTATGAACTACATCAACAAATGACAACTACTGATTCAGAATATATATGCACTAAAATTATTTTTATGAATTTACAGTACTCGCAGTACAGAATCATTTGCTAACCTCTGGTAAAGACATTAATATTTATAACACTCTTAGGAGATATCCCAGTTTTTCAAAACACACTTATAAAAGATCCTATTAATATTTTATTGGTCTGCCAACATGGCCAAGGGCCATAGGACAATCTTATTTTTATTTTGCTGACTAATAAAATTCTGGCTCACTGAAAAAAAGTCTTGCTCATACAATGAATACATGATCATTTTTTTTTAGGTACTCTGGTGAGGGACATGATGTTTTGTCTGCAGAGGATATGTCAACTGCCTTAAACTCAAATGGAGGTGTTAAAGGGGTTTTCAATGCTGTGGTTGCAATTGATCAGAAACATCAGACCAAGACAAAAACCAAAATACCCAACATTAGCGCAATGAACAATTTTGAGTTCTACAGTGAAGGGGTTAAAGTGAGGCGTGCCTATGGAATAGGAAATGGCAATTTCATACCAAATCTTCAGTTTAAGGACAACACACTCATGGAAGGTTTTCAGGTAAACTAAGTGAAGTTATAAAGAAACATGGGATAAATGTCCATGATATAAGGACCAAGTAAATTTGTAAATTGAAAAATCGATACAGCCTTCAACAATGAGTAAAGCCCATACAACATAGTAAGCTATAAAAGCTCCAATTGACAAATGTAAAATTAGCAGCCTTATTTATGTATAAAACTAAAGATGAAAACCAAATTTTATTTATAGCAAACAAGGCACACATGGAATGTGACAGGGGCCAGACCAGTCAATAAGAATAAACTATGAAAATCAGTGAAAAGGAATTACCTCATCTGATTGTTCCAAAGCAAATTTAAACCCTAGCAAAAAAACAAAAGACACATATTACAGATCTGATACTTCTCTGAGTTACTAAAAGCTAATTTTTTAACAACTAATAAACAAACAATGTGTTTAAGACTAGTACAGATATATAAATGAAAAGAATACAAAAAGATACATCCAGAACAGAACACCCGGCTTTGAGTGCCCCAAATATAGTACTAGTGCAATTAAATCCAAAGGCTTACTTAGTAAAGAATCAGAATAGCAAATTGTAAACTAAAAAATATACAGTGACAATCACACATAAACACAAATCAGAACAGCCTGATATTTGCTAACCATATGATTCTATATAATCATTCTACTTGTACATGTATATTTTGTTCACAATTCTCATTCATAAATTTTAAGGGTTAGTTAAATGTGTGTGACCAACATTTGCTTAATCATTTTGAATTTTTGTGCCCCTGTTGTAGTGGAGGGGGCATTTTTTTTCACCAATGTCCGTCTATACGTTCATCCGTCTGTAGGCCCAAATATCAGTTTCTGTTCTCTAACTTGAGTTTACCAAATGTTATGAAACTTATACACAATGTTTATTACCACAAAACACAGATCAAGTATGAATTTTGGTGACATCACTTTTAACATTCTAGAGTAATGCCCCTTTACAAATGCAAAAATTGCTGAGTTTTTCATTTCTGTGCTCTAACTTAAGTTTGTCTCAACCAAATGTTATGAAACTTATGCTCATAGCTTATCAAGTACCAATTTGGGTAGTTACTTTTTCCCTTCTTGATTTATCATGCTTATGTCCCATTGTAACATTATATGTAAGTGGGCATATGGACACATTCCCAAATTATTTTATCAATCATTGGCCAAGAATTTTAAGTGATTGGTTGAATATAACATAAAATTACCATCAGTTTGGCATGCTTTAGTTGGTTGTTCAAAACTGTTTTGTGAACACTGAACATGCTGAATATTATTGCTGCAGAATATATACATAAATTTACTTTTTTTGCAGGTAATTATTCCATTTTCCAATTTTGTTGCGGACCATCATGGGAGAATTGTACATGCAAGGAATAATATTGATGTTGAACATGAAAATGTGGGTAATGAGAATGACACTGAAAATGTGGGTATTGAGAATGTCATTGAAACTGTGGAGAATGTGATGGAAGAAGATGTGAGTAATGATGGTTTATTTGCGTGTCCAGATCAAAGTTGCACCAAGGTGTATACAAAACCTCATTTTCTAGAAGCACATATAGTAATTGGAAATCATGTATATTCAACTAGTGAGAATAGTAATGATTCTGTCAAATTGATTTGGGCACAACAATGTGAGGCAGTTGACAGAGAACACAAAGTCCTCATACAATCTGTTTCTTCAATCGATATGAATGTCAATGAAGGATGGGCTCTGAAACTGAACAAACCTTTTAAAAGATTCACCAAAAAGGTAAAAGACTTCCTATTTGATATATATGTAAAGTGTGAAAGTTCAGGGAGAAGACCAAATTTTGATAAACTAGCAACTGAACTCAAGACAACAAGACATGAGAATGATGGCACCAAAATGTTCACACGGGAAGAATGGTTATCACCATCGCAAATACGCAGTCTTTTTGCTAATTTTGTCAGGCTTGGTGCTGAAACTTCTATAAAATCAGAAGATACTGCTGATGTTATAGAAAATGTTTTAGAGGAAATCAATTCACTTGAATATCACAACAATATGGCAGAATTGGCAACAGACATTGTGCAGCAGTTTCTGTAGATGTACATGTGTGCATGTTCATAATATTCAATTTGTTGTATTGTATTTGGTTGAATAACTACAAACATGTATGTAATATTTCATCTCAAAGATACCGATATTGCAACTGTTTTGCATGTACATATACATACAATTTGTATACTTGATCTCATAAAAAAAGACATTCCTTTCAACAAATTTCAAAATGACTGCCTTAATATGCAAGTGGTACATTCATGTGGAGAAAAACGTCTCGTTCTTTATGTTCTCCAAGATTTTTATTAAAGTGATATGAAATGTGCTTTTTACTATAATAACTTTTGAACCAATGCATGCAGATGTACTGAACGAAGTCCTGTATCCATGTTTTTTTTATGTTTATGACGAATCAATTTAACTTATAATCGACAAATATTTCATTAGGTAATTGTTGTTCACAAGCTATTAAACATTCGATTTGGTTGCCAAAGTTCAAAACCAAGATCATGTGCAGCACATTTTTCATAAGTAAATAGATAAAAGCCACGATCATTTTTGAAAATTTTATTTTCCATGAATTCCTAGTTATGAATTTAAGTTTTCCCTCACAGTTGTTGAATGATTTAATGTTTTGAATTGTTCTTAAGAACAAGTTATTACTTTTTTACCTTCCTGTCCACATTTGTTTACATCATGGTTTTCCCCTTGCACTTTCACTGTGTGGTGGCCAAAGTTCTAACAAGAGGTCATAGTTAAGGTCAATGCGTATAGGAAGACAATATTTCAATAGAAGTTCAATTATGAAGATTTTGATGATATTATAAAGAATGTTCTTTTACTGGAATGTTAACATACACTTGATGTTATTGTATAGTAAAACTTAGCCATTGAAGCATAAAAAACATATTCCATTTTTTTTAAATTTAAAGTTTCAGATGACTTCATAAAATTCTGCTATTTCCGAGGGTCTTATGTAGGCCCTTATAGGTACCGTAATCATAACAATTTTAACTTTTCATTCAAAATTCTTTATAAATTTTGCACCAGTATTATAGACTTAAAATTTGTAAATGTCTGATTTTAGCAGAATGGTTTGTATATGTCATGCCCCCCAAGGGTGACTGGGGAATAGAAGTATGGTCACCATTGGTCTTCCTCCGACCGGCAGTAAAACCCGTGCTAAAGTGGGGCGTCCGTTTGGCTGTGCGGGATGTACAAATTTGCAGCCACGTCCGGTCAGAATGGGGACGTTAAATCCGATGCCTCGTGTAATGAGAGTGCCACGCTCTTTGCACGTTAAGAACCCTTGCAACAACTCTTTGAGGGGTCCGTAGGTGACCTGTTGCAAGGCTAAATTTCTGTCCCTATCCAATATACCCTCATTTCCCGTGGTAGTCTAAATTTCTCCGACTTTAATCCCGGACGCCCCTATTACAGAACCTACCTATTGTATTTATTGTTAATTTGTTCTCGTCCTGAATATGCATGAAATATTTGCCACTGGACGTTAAGCAACCAACAATCAATCAATCAATGTATATGTCATGAAATAAAAAGGCATTGAGTTAGGATATTTTACTTATTCTAGAGATGGCTGCTTTTAAATAGAGCATAAGGTGATTTGGATCTTTATGAAATTGTACAACAAGGTTCCATATCACAAAGGGATAGCTGGGTTTGAGTTTGGGGGTAATTGCCCTAAACGTTTAGGAATTTGGGGCCAAAAAGGGGCAAAAAAACAAGCATTTTTCTAGTTTCCAGACAATAACTTGTGTTCAAGTGTACGAATCTCTCTGAAATTGTACTGCAAGGCACCATACATTGTAACACAAAGGGAAGGCTGGGATTGAGTTTGGGGGTGATGAATCTTGAGGGGGGATTTTTTCCCCCTTTTTTTTCTTTAAAATTTTCCATTTTAAATTGGTTATTTCTGATTTATATATAAAAGCAAATAATAATGATATGGTTTGAATAGGTAAATTAAAATTTTTTAAGTTCTTAGACCACATTCATTCTGTGTCAGAAACCTATGCTGTGTCAAATATTTAATCACAATCCAAATTCAGTGCTGTATCAAGCTTGAATGTTGTGTCCATACTTGCCCACAACTGTTCAGGGTTCGACCTCTGTGGTCGTATCAAGCTGCGCCCAGCGGAGCATTTTATTATCATTATCTTAATAACTATACAAGAAGGGTCCTACATATATATTTAAATAAAAACTATCAACATAACATGGTCTAAACACCCCAAAATTTATCGAAAAATTGGTAATTATATCTTCCAGTTATTGTCCCTGAAATGATTGAATCTACCGTTTGCTACTTCTTTCGAACAACTATATCAATATATAATAGAACAAATTGCATTAATGGTTAGTAGGAACTGTTCTTTTACATTCTGAACTTATTCTGAATTGTTTAAATTCTTCTTTTAAAGTTGTTGCTCTGGAAATGTTTGTTTTTGTCCGCTTTTAGTGCATAATTTGTCAATTAGAGTTATTCTGCTCCTGTGAGCCTCTTCATTTATGATGAATTATTTGTATTTTTGTTTGATTATTTTCTTAAAGCATTAAATTAAACATGAATTATTCTTTTCAATTTGTTGTTATACTTATTTATAAGTCCAGCTCCTATATTATGTCAGTAGTTACAAATTAGACGGCAAAATTGAGAAAATTTGAATATGCAGGTTACCAATTTGGTTTGGTATATACCAGACACCAACATTATTTGCCGAGCTTAATATTTTTTTTGATTGGGTATATATAGTTATACTTTGCAAGTAGATATGTTGTTTTACAATAATAAACGGGTCTTGGAGTATTTTGGCTCTGAAAGATGACCAAAATCAGCCATTTTGGACATGAAGCTAAATAAGACCTATTGAATCGGATAGATTATACATACACTTAATAGACAGCATTGTTATTTCTATGCATTCTTACACTTAAAGTGATGTATTACTAGGAACAACTGTCAAAAAATTATTATTGTTGCCATATTTTTTTATTTAAACCAGTGAAATATGCCAAAAAAGGCTTATTTTTGCTGTTTTCGAGCAATTTCATCTGTTAAAAGATGGCGCCCAAAAATAATCCGGATCGGTTCAAAATTTTCAAAAAAAATTTGTGTGGTTATTTACATTACTAAGGTGCACCAATGTGCCAATTATGAACTCATTTGGCAAAAGTGACATTCGGACGGTTTTGCATGGTTTTCTGGCAGATTGGCCCTTAATTCAACTTATAACGTACATATTCAGATTCCCCTAATACACTAATACAGGGAAGTTACTGGGAATAGCCCAGTCTAGTTCTCAGTGGAAGCCACTCTGCATCTGCCCTCCTTTTATCCATTGTAAGCTTTAACAACTGTCTGACATTGGAATGGTTTGAACCATTGTAAAACATGGTAGCTAAATGTCTACGATATATTTTCATAGTAATTTGTTACACTGCTATTCGAATTTTCGCCCCATATGAAAGTAACTAGTCAATTAGTTGTAAGTCTGGTCACAATAACACAACTGACCTTTAAAATTTGTAAAGCCTGAAATGCAAGTCCATATGAAAATGAACTAGAGGCGCCCATGAGCATGTGCCGCTCACCTTGGTTTATGTGTATTTTCAGCAAATGACACTCTCCAACATTGTAGACGATAATACAATTGGTGGTATTATGATTTGGATTACATGCATTATCCAACGGTGCAGAAACTTATAAATTAGATGTTTCCAAAATTCTAATAGTATTTTCATTAGGTTTCAAGTATTTATTAAATCTTTCCTATTAAGCCAGAAACATTCTGTGGAAGTGATTGAACGGTTGAAATTTTAGAGACAATGTACTTACAATAAACAAAAAACAAAGCAGATTACCAAATAATTTAAATACCATTCCATGAAAAGCTTTAGTAACAACAGTCACATTGCTAACAGCTATCCATTTGTTCTCAATGGGATCATAAGAGTCCAATCTACCGGAGTAATGTTTGTATATTGTATTGCTTGGAATGAAGAAAAAGGTATTGCCATGTCTCTGAACATTCTGTATTATTCCGTAGGAAAATACTATTGTAGGTGGAGGGGGAATTACTCTGGTAAGTGCCTCAGTGGGACCAAATTGCATTTTCTCGTAAGATTGGCAAATGATCTTTGTACTAGTAGATTTTGTCTTTTTTTCAGAATTATAAATATCTGTTAAAACTTGTAGAATTAGTGGATAACCATCATCAATATTGTTAGAAGATAAGTGTTTACATTTTTTCACATGGTCTCAGTAATTTTTTTTTCACAGCAAAAGCAGAAATAATTCCCCCTCAACACAGTAACTAGCCCATGTGTTTTTGAAGAAGAACACCAAATTCGTACAACTGGGACAGATTCAATTCGTGTTGCCTCTTCTGCCTACACAAATTAACTGACATTTTAAAGGTTTGATAGAGCATTGAAATGAAATGGTTTATATTGAATTATGAAAACTAATGTAAGGTTTAACATTCATTTTTGACACAGGTTATGACATTATTTGGATCTTACAACATTCAATGACATTCTACAAAGAAGTCACTTAAAAGTCAACAACAAGGCACAAGAAGATTAAGACATGGATGAACCGGTTTCATGTTCAAACAACTCTTTAATCTAGATTATTAACAAAACTTAATTACTATTATAGTAACAAATGAGCAAAAATATGTATATCCATTGGAATGTTTTCAAACAGTTGTTGGTTAGTCACTACTAGCCCATATACATTGGTGTCAAATTGATTCTAATAATAAATAGTATGTCTAGTTTCCAGAAAGTCTTGCTGCCAATTGATAGAAAAAAGTTTTTCTTGGGTGTAATGTAATCAAAACAAGAATTAGTCCATACTCACATATACACTGCTCTGTACCCACGTTCTTTTTCTAAAGCACATAAAAAATAATACACATTATCTCTGCTGTATTTCATTCATTAACTGCGATTTGAATTTTTTTTTATTTAATAAGAAAACAAATTAGTACATAGGGACAAAATATTAAATTTACTGATTGGTTCTTTTTATAAACTTGCACATTTTGTTGACAAGTTGAATTGAAATTGTCTATTGTACATCCCCCCGGTGGATCGCTATCCTTGCCGTGGTCGGGGGGCTTGCGTGTCTCAGTGACCCCAAGAGCTATGCCAGTTGGAGCTTCGTCTCCTGGTAGGGTTACCCATGCTGGACAGGTCGAAGGGTAGAGACCAGACTAAAGTGATCCGAACATCGTATGAGTTGCCCGATGTTTTAAATAAAATAGGCTCTCCAACCCGTTGGCCGTGGGTTGCTACCCGTGTCGGTGGTTGACGAGATCCTTGCGGATGAGGGCTGTAGCCAGACTTCTTACGGTCAGAAAAATACCCGGACGGACGAGACTATAGTTCAATAAGCTGCTTTGGCTCCAATATCATCTAAACGGGAGGTCGGATGGACCCGGTTCGATCAATCGGCTGGTCATGTCGAGCCCTTCAGTTAATCCTCAACAATAAGCTTTCTTGTAACAATTTTCATTATATACACATGTGTTTTAAATTAAGCTATTTATATTTCGGATAATTGAAGAAGGCGATGGCTCATGGGTCAATCAAGTGGTACGCTTTCTATTTCGCTTGATGGATACGCTCTGCTTGAGTATACTATTCTTGGAACATCTGGTGCTTTCCGCAGTGGATCTTGGGTGCTAATTTTGGGGACCAGCTACGTTATACATGTTATACTTGGAGCTCGTTTTCAGCATTAGCACTTGACCCCGGCTCGCCACGGAAACACAGCATCGCCCTTGTAGGCACTCCGAGGTGGGTGGATGACAAGAATGGTGAATCTTTCTCATTTCCTATGGCACAACAAAACCAACCCTCTAAATCAGCTTTAATACATAAAAAAAGAAAATGTGATGATTCAGTGCCCTGTCAGGAAGATGACAGTTGGCCCAGATTTATTGTAATAAAAGGAACAGATGAAAAACCAATTTCCAAAATATCTCCCTTTGTGATTCACAAACAAATTCAAAGCGTTGCTGGTACTGTAAAAAAAGTTTCAAAAATGAGATCAGGCAATTTGTTGGTTGAATGTTCCAACA